CCAGTCCCACGCCTCTCGCCCGGCCTCGCCCCGGGTCCCACCTGGGCCTCAGGCGCCCCCTTGGCGCTGAGGCGCGCCTGCAGCTTCCGCACCATCACCTGCCGCTTCCACTCCGGGATGGGCCGGCCGCGCTCGTCCCGCGTGGGTACCAGCCCGTCCAGGTCACCCGAGCGCAGCCCTTCCAGCTGCAGCGCGGCCAAGCAGTCCGGGCCGTCTGCCGCCGTCTCCGCCCCCTGTGCGTACGCGGGGGTCACGCTTTGCAGGGTCTCTGGTGACCCGATCCCGGGGAGGGGAGGGGCAGTCCGGGGAGGAGGGGCGGAGGGGAGACCTCAGACAGCCCCCCAGCCCCCAGACTGATAGTGTGAACCCCCTGAGGGCATGGCCGGGCTGAACCTTCCGTGCCCCTCGCGTGGGGGAGCCTAGGTGTGTTGAGGGGTCGCTGACTGAGAGAGGCAACCAGTAATCCTTCCTCCCTGCCTGTGTACGGCCGGGAAGAGGCTTTCCCAGCACGCCGTGGCGATGGCTGGGCAACAGCTGCATAGTCAAGGTCTGGCGGCCAGTTCTGAGCGCGAGGACTTGTGCGCAGCGTTTCCCAAACTCACTAGAGCACAAAACATTTCGCTGAGAGTTCCCGACCTGCTCTGGGGAAGGCTGGGCAGGATTTATATGGGTCTCTCTCATGCCCCAGAAGAGAGGGAGGAGAAAGGGGAACAGGCCTCCTCAGCTGGTCCCAGGGCTGCCTGGGGGCCGCTGAGGAGGACAGCTTCCAGGGGAGCGTGAAGCACCCTGAGCTCAGATGTCAGGGTGAGGGGCTGGGGCTCCTCGTAATGACAGAGAAGGGCACCCACATTTTCTATGATGGGGTGACAAACTGCCTATCTCTGGGACGTGCTTCATGGCTCACTGCCCTGAAATTCCCCTCTCCTCAGAACCCGGGGGCGTCCTCAGGGGCCAGCAGAGGCACCGGAGTCTGCGAGGGCCTGGGGTCCACCCTGCCAGGAGGAAGGGCCTGGGCTGCTCCAGAGTGACCCTTAGCCCACCTAAGGGGACACGGTGAGAGGCCGGCTGGGCTTTGGCATCGGTAGGGGAACTTGGGAGATGGGGACCCGGAGAGCAGGGACATACCGGGGGCACAGCCATGGCACTGGTGGTGGCCCTCAGGGGGGCCCTGCAGGTCTGCTCCCTGGGGGGAGGCGGGTCAGGCTGGCCAGGCCAGGTCGGGCTGAGATGCACTGCTGCTGGAAAGAAGGGGGCCTTGAGTCACAGGGGCTTCCAGAAAGGGCGGGGAGAGTGAGGACAGGATAAATACCCACCTCTGAGGCCCCCAGCTTGGGGACAGAAAGCACCCCCAAGGCTTCTCCCCAGGAGCGCCTCACCTGTTACTGACCCGAGGCCACAGGCCTTCCTGAAAGAGCCAATGACCCAGCCAGCCCTCCACCAAGTGCCCTTGGGGCCCCGGGTGGATTCACACGTCCCTGGGCGTTTTCTGTGGGGTCAATGGGACCAGCCGAATCTGTGTTTTACCCCCTCCCCACACCACTCACCCCATGCCACGGCCCTGCCCGGCCCCTCCCTGAAAGGAGCTAGGAAGGCGCGGTGCCCTTACCCTCCACCAGGGACGAGTACGTGCAGGCACACACATATGCACACATACACACGTGCACGCCTTGGGTATTTTTGCCCCAACTCTGCCTCACACCCCAGACAGGCACGCACGTGCACGTGTGATGTATGTAACTAAAACATGTGTGATGCATGTAGCTAAATCACATGTGTGAAGTGTGTAACTAAAACATGTATCCTGAAGAGTGTTCGCCCTCGCTCCATAGGATGCCGGCTGGTATTTCCATGCTGTTCCACTCACTCCATTGTCAGAAATGCTGGCCACACCCCCGAACGGGCGGTGACCTGCAGTTTGAGGACCGGTTACTGGCCCAGGCTGGCCACGGACACGAAACCTGCCAGGGTCCCAGCAGCAGACCCCGAAGGGGGCGTAGTCGAGGGACCTCGTCCAAGCAGACACCGCAAGAGGGGACGAAGCTGTGCAAGGTCGCCCATAGAGAGGCCAGGCCCCGGGCTCTGAGGGAGCCAGTGCAGAGGCAGGAGAGCGGGGCTGGGCGGGGGCTGGGCGGGGTCTGGGCAAGGGGCGGGGCGGGGGTTAGAAACGCTCCCCGTGGAGAATGTCTCGCCGGAGAGAGCCAAGAAGACCATAGAGGAACGCTGGAGGACGTTTGCAGGGGACGGTGGTGGAGGGGGCCCACCCACCTGTCCTGTGTGCTCAGCTACCCCACACACACCCCCCTGCAGGGCCTGACCCTCAACCCCAGAGTGCTGCCCGGAGACGGTGTGCTTACGGCTGGGGCTCCTGAGCTCTGAGCCCTCTCTTCGTCTCTCCTCCGGGGAGTGCCTGGCGGCCGACAGCGGGGGAGGGGGGAAAGGTGGCGGCGGGGGAGTCTTCAGCAGCGGCACCTGCGGGGGGACAGGCCTAGTCGGCAGAGCCCAGTGGGGCCTTGGCTGTTCCCAGCTCTGTCAGGTGGGGCATGGGGGTCCTGCCAGGCTGAGGTCCCAGCCAGCTTCCCTGGGGAGGACGCAGGAGGGCCGTGAGCAGGAGCCCCCGGGTCCTGTCTCTCCTGTCTGTCCCCACTCCCCCTCCACGCTGGGTGACAGGCTCCCCAAACACCCCCACAGTCTGGGTGCCATTGCTAATTGTGTCCCCCTATCCCACACCACGCCCCTCCACTGGCTGCACATCCCCTGTCCTGAAGCTTGGCTCTGGGTCCCCCACACCCGACCCCAGGCAAGGTAAACAGCAGCTCCGGGTGCAGGGTCAGGGGCTGGAGTCCGGCTTTCCTGCACCTCATTTTGGCCTTACAAGATGTGCACGAACACATGCACACACACGCAACATGCATGCAATGCACACATGTATGTGCGCACACACACACCACGCGCCCGCTCCCTGACTGTCCCCGACGGTGCTGAGATCAACCCTCAGAGCCCCTCTTCCTGACCCTGTGACCCGTCGGTGTCTCTGGGTAGACAGCAGTGGACCAGGAGTGGGGGGGGGATGTGCCCAGCAGCCGAGGCCACAGGGCATCACCCCACTTTCAGGTGAGGACCCCGAGGCCCGGAGCACAGGCCACACTGAGTGCGTGGGCCCCTGCCCTTGGCCCAGCCGCCTTCTCAGAGATGTCCCCACCCAGCCCCGCAGCCCCGGCAGGGTCGTGTCCCCCCCACTGAGTGGAGGGTAGGTGCCACAGCCGTGCTGGGACCCCCAGAGGTGTGGCCACCCAGAGTGGCCTGCTGGCCCCTGGGTGTAGGGGAAGCTGACGAACTCGTGAGGCTTTTCAACCCACAAGCAGGGCTGCGTGGCCGTCAGCTTGCCCCAGGGTGGGAACGCCGTTCTCACGGCCCACCATGCAGGGTCCACGCTAAGAAGGGCCAAGGCTAGCACTTGGCCCAGGACCACCAGGCACAGAGCCCCCCAGATCAGCCCCCAGGAGCTGGTGCTGGGCACCTCCTCATCACCCCCTGTAGCCACTGACCACTGGGCAGCTCAAAGGGCCCTGACTGGAGGGGCCTTGGCTCCGTCCCCATCATGAGGCATTCTGGCGCAGGGGCTGGTCATGGTGCCCCCCTCGCTCCCGCCTCCCTGCTTCTCCAAGAGGCTCTTGGCCCCACCTTCTGCTTTAAGCTTTACAGCAGGAAGTTTGGAGCGGCCTGCCCCAGTCTCTCCACGGCGACGCCTGGGCTCCCAGTGGTGCCTGCTCCTGTCGCTCCTAGCAGTCCACCCTGGGGATCAGGCTGCAGCCGCCCATCCTCTCCCTCCAGGGGGCAGTGAAAGCCAGAGGTGGCCCTCAATTAGGGGGGTCAGTTTGGTGCCAAGATTCCTGCAGGGGCAGGGCACCTGGCCAAATCAGCCCCCATTTCGGCACGTGTGGCCAGGCCAGGTCGGGCGGTAGGTGACACAGGGATGGTGCCCAGAGGCCACCGCCCACCTGGTCCAGTGCTCTTGGAATTCTTAGTAAGGTGACCAGGCCCTGGCTTCTCCCAGCCTCCCCCTGCCCATTGCTGAGGCGAGGTCACGCCTCTCGGCGAGGAGGCTGCTGGCCTCCAAGGAGGGCAGCCTGCGGGGCCGCCCCAGCCAGGGTACCCTCAGGAGAGCCCTGGGTCTACGCCCACCGCCACAGCCCCTCGCCCCGCTCCTGCCCAGGACCCTAAGCTCGCCATCTCGCACTCACTCCTTCAGGGATTCAGCCCGGCAGTGCGGAGCCGAGAGGTGCGGCGCTGAGAGGTGCAGAGCCGAGAGGAGCAGCCGTCGGCGTCGGGGGGCTGCCGCAGCAGCTGCCCCTGGAGCAGAGGCGGTCGGAGCCTCATGGCCGCATGAATATTTGAAGGCTGAGGTGTCGGGTGGCCAGGCGGGCCTGGGCTGGGGCGTGGGATCCCTTACATGGCTCAGGGACCAGGAGAGCAGACCCCAGGGGACCCCAGAGCCCTGAGTCACAGCCTCCCTGTCAGGAGGCCCTTTCTGGAAGACAGCCCACCAAGAGGGATCCTTCTCCCCACCCCAGTACAGCTCCTGGGCACAGATGGGGAAACCGAGGCTCAGAGAGGGCAGAGGCTTGCCCAGGGCCTCACGCTGGGATGTGGCAGCTCCTGGCAGGCCCTAGGGCCCCTCGGTCCTTTGGCCCAGAGGCCTCGGCAGTGGCATCAGAGGAGGGAAGGCAGGTGGGTGGGCCTGGGAGTGGGGGAGCGGTCTGGGGGAGGGGCAGCCCCGTGGGGTCTCGGCTTCTATGTGTGGTGCTGGACCTGCCCAGAATGCAAACCCCAGACCACTCTTTACTGTGTTTGCTGGGAGCTCCCCTAGGGAAGAGAACTCGCTTATTGTCTGCTATAAAAGGGTGGGTTCCCTGGGCTCAGGGCTCCTCGGCTTCCACAACCCACTGCGTGCACAGCGCCCCTCTGGGCCACCCTGGGACTTGGGGGGCAAGGGGTGAAACAAAGGCAGAGCTAACGCTCCCTGCTCTGTTGAAATAAAGTCCCTGGTGGCACAAACAGTTTGTGCTCAACTACTAACCTAAAGGTTGATGGTTTGAACCCACCCAGGGGCCCTGCAGAAGAAAGGCCTGGCGATTTTCTTCCATAAAGATTATAGCCGAGAAACCTCTCTGGAGAAGTTCTCACTGTGACGCATGGGGTCGCTGTGGGTTGGAACTTACTGGCGGCAGCTGGCTTGTCTTGGTTTGGTCTGGTCTCAGACCCGGGAGTCCCGGCCTCCGACCAGCACCAGGAATCAGTAATAGGCTGACTGGTTAGTGTTAACAACCCCAGAGCCGACAGAAGTGTGGACAGAGAAGCCAGGGACAGACTGTCAGACGTGGCCAGAAGAGGACCGAGCCCCGGTGGGCCCCCTGCCAGCAGGGCCACCTGACGGCCACCCCTGCCCCCTGCCCAGCCTAGACAGAGCCTCGCCTCGCAGTGCCTCTCCCCTCCACCCCCCAGGGCAGAACGAGGGGTTTGGCAAGGACGGCGGCGGCCCCCTCATCTGGGGAAGATGGAGGAGGCAGAGTGGGCACGGGGCGCAGGGCAGTGGACGTTGGCCCCACGCACTCCTGCCCTCCTGCCCCCACCGCAGCCTCCCTTCCTGGCCTGTCTTCAGGAAGAACTCTACAGAGCAGAGGGAAAGATGTGGAGGACGGAAGCCTGGACACCCTGGGCCGGCCTGGCACGTGCGGGGCTCGGCTGACGGCGCTGTGGTCACCACTAGCGTGAGGATGATGTCTCTGAATCCTAACAGACACCAGAGTCTGACTGTGGTGTCCCAGGTGACAGAGAAACCAGGGCCCTGTGCCCCATACCCTCAGGCTGCGGACACGGAGGTGCCAAAGGAGCGGCGGGGTCCAGGCTGCGGTCCTGGGGGTCCTGGGGTCCGTGCTACCCCCAGCCCAGGCATCGGGCTTGGGTGCACCCCGGGGGTGACGGCCACGCTGGCCCTACCCGGCGCCTTCCCCTGGCTGCTCTCTTTTCCTGCGTTTTTGGTGAGATTTGAGCAGCGGCATGTCAGCCATGCATTATACATGCTGAACCGGGTTACAGGCCTGTAACGGCACCCAGGCTGAGAAAATCCTGACCCAGGGATCAGCGACACCACAATGCCGAGATTCGGTTACTGGCTGGAAGGCCAGGCCCCGCCCCTGCCTGGGGGAGGAGACGGCTGGGAGAGTCCCTTGGCCTGGCCTTGGGCCTTAGTTTCCCCACCTGTAAAATCTGGAAGGAGCCCTGGTGGCACGGGGGTTAAAGTGCTAACTGAAAGGTCAGCGATTCAACCCACCAGTCCCTGTGCAGGATGAAGATGTGGCCATCTGCTTCTGTAAAGATTGCTTGGAAACCCTATGGGGTTGATGTGAGTTGGAATAGACATGATGGTAGTGGGTTTGGTTTGGGTTAAGGGCCACCAGGAGCCTGGGTGGTGGAAACAGTTTGTGATAGGCTGCTAACTAAAAGGTTGGCAGTTCAAACCCACCCAGTGGCACTGCAGAAGAAAAGCCCAGCACTCACTTCCATAAAAATTACAGGCAAGAAAACCCTACGGGGCAGCTTTGCTCTGTGAGGGTGGCATAAGTCGGAATCGACGGCAGCTGACAAGGACCACAGGGGCCGTCCAGACCCAGGGGAGGGAAGTAGCCCGTACTAGGGCCACCATGCCAGGGCTCTGCTGGTGTTTGACACCAATCTTTGATCTGCTCTTCGATCCCATTTTATGGATGAGACACTTGAGGCTCAGCTGCTCAGGGCTTACTGGTGCCAGAAGAGCGGGCTCCAACCTGCCCTCCCACCTCTGAAGCCCAGGTTCTTCCTGAGCCTCCCTTCCCACACCCCCACCACCAACCCACCGCCCGCTCTGCAGGGTGGCTGCAGCCTGGGGGCCCAGGGTAGCCCATGTGGGAGTGAGGACATGGTGAGGGTGAGCAGGATGCCTCAGGGACGCTGTGGGCTTGGCTCCGGCACAGGCCCCACTGCCCAACAGAACCGAACTCAGAGCTGGCACCACAGCCACAGCTCAGCGCCCAGGCAGGCTGCGGAGGCAGGGTTGAAGGGCTGCCTCCGTGGCCCTTCTAGCTCCTGCCCCACCCCAGGTCAGAGAAGCCCACCCCCTCACTGTGCAGATCAGGTACCAGCGCAGGGAGGAGGAGGCATTTGGCAAGGTTGCAGGGGCATGGGGAGCGGGAGGGAGGAGGCTTGGCTGGGCTTGGTTGCCCTGAGGTCCCGCAGATCCCAGAGGGCGCACCTCCCAGGGGGCAGACCCGCCACCACCCGTCCAGTCCATTCCCAAGTCCACTGGAGGCAGAGACGGTCGCTCTGTCGTGGGGACAATGACAGGTTTCAGCAGCTCCTCCCAGGCCAGCGGGAAAAGGCCAGTGTGGCGACCTCTGGGTACTGCGTTTCCATCAATATTGCACTCGGGCACAGCTCCCCCGGCCTGGCCCCCAGCTGACAGCCGCCCTCCCAGCTGAGCAGGGACCCAGCGGGCCTGGGGGTGCAGGGGCCTCCCAGCCAGTGGCGAGAGACTGGCACCCCTGCTCCACACGCAGTGCGAGCGAGGTGGGGGCCTATCCTTCCCTCCCCCGTCCTCCCCCAGCAGGGGTGCCCCCGAGGAGCCCCGGGCTCCGTGAAGTGGGTTTGGCAGTGGCTGGTCGGATTGGACCTCCCACGGTTTCAAAGCTGGCTTGGTGGTTCACCAGCACTGAAGCAACCCCCACCACCAGGCAGATGGGGCACAGCACTTCCCAGCAGCCACCTGGCACCTCCCTCTCCTTGCAGTGAAGACGAAAGAAGGAGGCTTCCATCCCTAACCCTGAGTTCCCAACAAAACTCACAGCGGGCACACTGACTAGCCTCAAAAGCTAAGTGTTTGGATTTGCAAGTGCCGGGCAGGTGTGACCCAGATGCAGACCTGGAGGACGGGCCACCGCAGGCTGGGGCAGGCAGCTTGAGCAGCAGGGGAGGGGGCTCCTGGCCCAGGGGGCATGAGGAGACTGCAGAGACAGCCCAGTGGGGCTGGGGACTCCCCGGTGAAGAGAGCTGTTTGGATTGAATTGTGTCCCCCAAAAAGATACATTGAAGTCCTAACCGCTGTGTCTGTGAATGTGACCTTGTTTGGAAATAGGGGTTTTCCTCTGTTAACGAGGTCACATTGGAGTAGGATGGGTCCTAAACCTAATCACTTCCGAGTGGTGTCTTATAAAAAGGGAAAACAGAGGCGCACACACAGAGGGAAAGATGCCATGTGAAGACGGAAGCAGACACATCACAGGCCCACGAGTGCCCAGGATGCTGGCGGCCACTAGAAGCCGAAAGGCACACACAGGGACCTTCCCCTAGTACCAGTGGCCGGAATTCAGACTTCTAGCCTCTAGATGGAGAAATTGAACTCCTGACCACGGGAGGTATTGTAATCTGCGATCTCCTCTGTGTGTTGTTAATTCCACTTTCCCGTTTCGGATCTGAACGGTAGTGCATTTGAAGATCTTATAAGATATGGATGTTTTTAAAACAAAAACCAATTATTTCACTGCTAAGGTAGAAAACAGACCAATAACCTGTTCCTTCACTCATTTGTTCACACACTTGCCCATTTATTCACTCATTCATTCACTCACACAGTCCTTCGCTCACCTGCCCTTCACTCATTCATCTGTTCATTCACTCATCCGTTCATTCAACAAATACTTGGTGAGCCCTGTTACTTGCTAGGAGCTGGGGACCAGGCGTGAACAGGACAGACTGGGTCCCCTCCTTACTGACTAGGAAACAGGCCCAGGGAGGGGTGGAGCCAGGACTTGAACCTGCTGCCCCACCCGAGGAAGAACCCTGTCTTCCTGGGACCCGGTGGGGCTGGCCTGGCTTGCACCACGGTCACCAGCTGAGCAGAGGTACAGCCAGAGCCCAAAGCCTCAACAGGGATCCAGGGCCCTGCTCCCACTCCTCAGGTGTCCTCATAACCGTGGAGGGTGGTGCCCCGGAGTCACAGGTGTGGTCCCTGTGACCCAGAAAATGGCGTCCCGTGGCCAAATTCCAGCTCCCAGCCCAGCTCAGCCCCTGCCAGAGCCACAGGCCCTGTCGCAGCCCCAGCTGAGCCCCAGCCACCCCGGGCCAGGTCCTTTCTCCTGGCAAACCACATGTTAGGGGCAGCAGGGGGCCCGCCCCACCCCCATCCTCACCGGCCGGGCCATGTCCCGCAGGTACTGGGCGCAGTCCTGGTGGCCGTGGTACTCAGCCAGGTCTGCTGCTGTGTAGCCGTCTTCATCCCGGAGGGAGGGGTCCACATGGTGGGACACCAGGGTCTGGCAACACTGCAGTAGGAGAGCACATGTGTGACCCACTGCACACACCACAGAGAGTCCCTGGGTACTAAGGGCCCACTGCCCAGGAGGGATACGAAGGCCACTGGGGGCTGAGGAGCCACCCATTCACCGCAGAGGCAGGACTTGAGTCCAGGAAGCAGCCCAGAGCCCTGCCCAGTGACCCCTCCCCTCCCCAGGAGGTCTGACTCCCCTTGTCCAGATGGGGGCTGAGGGGCACTGAGCTGAAGGAATGGGCCCAGGCACAACTCCCAGGGGGTTGGCAGAGCCAACCCCAACCAGGTATCTGACCTGGCCTCGCCCTCCTAGCTACCAGCTGTGGACTCTGCACAGAGCCTCTTCCAGTTCCTACAGCAGCCCTCTGAGGTGTGTGACTCACACAAGAAGGAACAGGGGCTCTGGGGTTCAGCCCTGCCCCAGGCTGCCAGGACTCAGCCGACTTTCCCTGTGCCCTTGACCCCCTCGCCCCACAGCCTGCTCCTTCCAGTTGGGCCTCGGCTCCCTTGGACCCGCTGAGTTTAACTGAAAACTGAGACCCAAAGGAACCCACTGCCCCTGGACTGCAGGCTGTCCACCTGTAAAAGGTGCAATTGGCCCCCCGCCCCCCCCACGCCCACTCCAGAGTCAGTGCATCAGATAGGAGTTGGGTGAGAGGGCTGTGGGGGCATCAGGCCGGGAATAAATGCTAAATTAGAAATGAAACCAAAAACCAAACCCGTTGCCGTTGAGTTGATTCCGACTCATAGAGTCTATAGGACAGAGTAGAACTGTCCCATAGGGTTTCCCAGGCTGTAGATCTTTACGGAAGCAGACTGCTACATCTTTCTCCTGCGGAGCAGCTGGTGGGTTCAAACTGCTGACCTTTCAGTTAGCAGCCAAGCACTTAACCACTGTGTCACCAGGACTCCCTGAATTATCACTAGGAGGCTGAGAAGCTGCTGTGAGGGGCTGGCCCTTGAAGAGAGCCTGGCATCGAGGCCACAGGGACCTTGGTCACATCCTCGTTCTACTACTTGCTGGTCAGTGAGCTGGGCATAGAACTAAACCACTCTGAGAAATAGGGACAATAACACTAATGTGCAAACGCTTTGCTATCGGCCGCTAATCTAAAGGTTGGCGGTTCAAACACACCCAGTGCACCACAGAAGAAGGGGCTGGCAATCTGCTTCCATAAAAGATTTACAGCCCAGAAAACCCTGTGGAGCAGTTCTACTTTGCACACGTGGGATCGCCACAAGTCAGAACTGACTTGACAGCAACTAACAAGCAGCAACATGACACACACTGTTAGCTCCCCCTTCCTTGCTAATGGCACCCCAACTGTTCAGCCAGCAGGAGGAGGACCTCAGAAGGGGAGGACTCTACCCAGCCACAGGGGTGAGTCAACACTGATCCACCTGGTTGTGGTCAACTCCCCGCTTTGGGCCGTGAATGCCTGGCCCCAGGTGGAGTCTTCAGCGTTATGGTTAGGAGAAGTAAGAGGAAGTGCCTGGGGAGGGCTTCCCGGCCGGCCCTTCCTCCTGCCCTGAATGAGCCCAGGCCCGAGGAGGCCGCCATCTTGAACCAAACGGGCGAGGCCCGGGGAGGCCGCCATCTTGGACTGAATGGGTGAGGCCCAGGGAGGCCCCCACGAGGGGAGGGGGCAGTTTGGGAGGAGGGTGCAGATTGCAGTGGAAGGGGCTTCAGGCCCTGAGTGCAGAGACTCAGAGATGATTTTGACAAGGGCTGTGGGACTCTGAGCCAAGTCTCCTTTACATTCTTTGAAAGACGCCCAACAGGACCGGAAGGACCACCAACTACTTTATGCTGCTGGACTGCACTTTTTTGACGTGACGGACCCCAGGGGCACTTCATGTTCCAGCTGGGAACAGTCCAAAATCTCAGCCCAGGATGAGATACTGAGCTGCACCTCCAACTAAAATCCTCCCTTATGGACGAGGAGCCCTGGTGGCGCAGTGGTTAAGAGCTCGGCTGCTAACCAAAAGGTCGGCAGTTGGCATCAACCAGCTGCTCCTTGGAAATCCTATGGTGCAGTTCTACCCTGTCCCGTAGGGTCGGTATGAGTCGGAATTGCTCTCGATGGCAATGAGTTTTGGTTTGATCTCTAGGATGAATAAACCCTATTGCCGATGGGTCGATTGCTACTCATAGAACTGCCCTATAGGGTTTCCAAGGCTGTGACAAATCGACTCGATGGCATTGGGTTTGGTGTTTTGGTTTTGGTTAATCTTTATAGAAGCAGGCTGCCACATCTTTCTCCTGCAGAGAGGCTGGTGGGTTTGAACTGCTGACCTTTCTGTTAACAGCTGAGTGCTGAACCAGTGCGCACCAGAGAAAAAGAGGAAGAGTCTCAACAAGATGGAATGACCCAGTGGCTGCAACAATGGGCCCAAACATAGCAATGACTGCGGAAGGCGCCAGCCTGGCAGTGTTTTGTTCTGTTGTACACAGGGTCGCTGAGTCAGAACCGACTCGAGGGCACCTAACAGCAATAGGATGAGCAGGTGGGGCCCAGGGCATTTTGACGGCAATGAGATTATTCCGTATGATGCTGTAATGGTGGACACGTGCCATGACCCATTTGTCAAAACCATAGGCCTGTACAACACAACGAGTGACTGCTCTGGTAGCCTATGGACTTTAGTTAATAACAATGTAGCGATACTGGTTCCTCAGCTGTGACAAATGTATCACAGAGCGCAAGGGGCTAATAACAGGAGAAACGTGTGCACGAGGAGAGGGGTTATGGGAACGCTGTACTATCTGCACAATTTTTCTGCAATCCTAAAACTGCTTTAGGAAATAAAGTCTGTTGAAGTGTGAAAAAAACAATTGTCCCCCTAGCCGAGGTTGGGGCAGCTGTCTCACGGCTCTCCCTGGGGCAGACCAGGGCGCTGGGGGCTCGGGGACAGTAGGGGGAACCCAGAAGACTCCACAGAGATGGACTGACGTGCTGTCTGGGAACATGCTGTTGAGGACGGGATGGGACAGGCAGAGAGGCAAACCTACGCGTTGTCCCTATATGTGATGTGGCCTTTATACCAGGCCTGCATCCGGGTGGCCCCTGCCCAGGCCCTCCTCGATGGCTGGGTGTGGCTCTGATGGGCTGTTCAGTATTTGGACTTCGCCCCTGCCTACTTCGGGTTTCTGGGTGTTGCTTCCTTGAGACTGGGCCATGTGGGCCCCAAGGTTTGTCTGGATAACAGCAAAGGAGCTCACATCACCCCCAAGCACGATTCTGTGAGGGGAGGCACTCCTGACCGAGGGCCTGGCAGCCAAGTGCCATTCTCAGAAGACTGTCGTGACATCCACCCAGCGAGGGCACTGCAGGTAGGGATGCCAGTAGTTTTGTGCGGGCATCAGGAGCCCAGGACCGAGGACGGGAGCCGGGTTTTGTTACCAGGTAGATCTGAGTCAGAGCCCCGGTGGCGCACTGGTTAAGAACTCAGGCTGCTAACCAAAAGGTCGGCAGAGCCACCAGCTGCTCCATGGAAACCCTATGGGGCAGTTCTACTCTGCCCTATAGTGTTGCTATGGGTCAGAATTGATTCGACCTCAATGGGTTTTGGTTTTGATCTGAGTCTGGATCCTGGTTTTGCCACCTGACCTTGGGCAAGTGACTTTGCCTGCTAAGCCTCAGTCTACCCATCTGTGAAAGGGGACAGAGAGCACCTATCTTGTAGGGCTGTTGGGAGGATCGAGAGATACGTAGTGAGGGCCCAGACATAGCGAGCGCTCAGTGCCTAATTTTCTGGTCTTATACCCCGACGACCTGCCTTGCCCACACCCGCCTCACCTCCATCTGCCCATTCTCAGCTGCGTCGTGGAGCGGGGTCCCACCCCAGGAGTCTTTCACAATAGGGGCGCCCATTAGCAGGAGCCGGTCCAGAATGGGTGTGTGCCCGCCTCGGGCTGCAAAGTGGAGGGCTGTGGCCCCCTCGTTATCCCTCGCTGTCAGGCCGATGTCGGTGAATGTGACCTGGTAAGGAGGAGCAGAGGGAGACAGGCCAGCAGGCCGAGGCTGGACGCAGCAGGGAGATGGCTCTGGGGTGGGGGGGGGAGGGGAGAGCAGGGCAGGGGAAGGGGGAGGGGGGAGGGGGCTTGGAGCAGAAGTTGTGCCTGTCAGGGAGGCAAGCGCCCCCCCGCCCCACACCCCAGGAATCTCAGGGGACAGAGCCGGCTCTTTGGACCTGTCTCTGTAACTGCTGGGCAGCGTGACAGCCAGGGCGCACGGTGGGGGTGCAGTGAGCCTCAACATGTTTTATTTGGAGACTTCAGAGTCCTTAAATCTGCCCCAGCCCGAATGTTAAACCAAACACCCCCAGGGGCTGGTTTCATGTCCCCAGTGAAAACACCCACACCTGGCACCTAGGGGCCCCAATTGTGGTGAAGGAAGGAAGGAAGGGAGGGAAGGAGGGAGGGACATCCTTGGTGCCAGAAGAAGTCCTGATTGCTCCCTGAACACAGCTTCAGCACACCAACCCCGTGTAGGAGCCCTGATCCGGCGCCTGGGGATGTGGGTTTGAGGCCCAGACCTGCTGCAGCTACACGAGGGGGACAGCACACAAGGTGGGGCTAAGGGTGCCGCAGGGCTGAGGGCAGCCTGGAAGGTCCTCTGCAAAGGGAGGCCAGAGGCAGCTGCCACAGCCAGGGGCTGGACTCCATCCCGAGGCCACAGGGAGTCCCTTCCTTCCTCCCTCCCTTCTCTTCCTCTCTCCCTTCCTTCCTTCCTTTTTCCCTTCCTCCCTCCCTCCCCCTGCCCCCCGCCTCCCACAAACACCTCCTGAGCACCCACTATGCACCAGGCCTGGGGAATGCAGCAGACCGACAGTGTCCCTGCCCTCATGGAGCTCCTGGACTTGTATTTCCAGGGGTGGAAATGAACAGTGGACGAGATAAGGAAGTCAGATATACGGTCTGCCGGGTAGTGGCATCATGGAGAGTCGCAAGCAGGAGAGGGGACAGAGTGCTGGGGTGCGGGTGGGAGAGTACCATCTTAAAGGCGGGGGCGCATTGTGGACTCTTGGGCAGCTGCATGCCAGCCAGAGGGCACAGCACGTGCAAAGGCCCTGCGGTGGGACTGGAGCCTGGCCTGAGCCCTGCCTGGGAGTGAGCCCGGCCTGGGAGTGAGCCCCGCCTGTGGAGGTACAGCTGTGGGGTGGGGAAGGCAGGGAAGGGTGGGAGGTTCTGAGCAGATGGCTCTCAGTCAGGTCTCCACCAGTCAGGTCAGCGCCCTCCAGTGGCTCCCCAGTGTCCTCAGGAAGAGCCCAGGGCCTCCCATGGCCTCCTAGGGCCTCCCAGGGTCCCCCACAGCCTCGGTCAGCCTGCCCCACCCCACCCCTGCCTAGCAGCCAGGCTCTCCCGCCTTTGCCAGTGTGTGTCCTTCTCTGGAGCTTGCTGTGGGCCTGGCCCCTTGACCAGCCACCTCCTGGGGAGGCTGACCCCTACCTGTCAGTTGGGTCTTCGTAAGCAAAGAGGCCCAAATGGCCCCTCTATGGGTCTGGTGGGGGGACGCTGGCTGGGCGTGGCCTGAATGAAGGGCCAAGGGGCCCAGGTCCAATGGGGGGCCCAGGCCAGGTATGGCCGGTAGTGGACACAGGAAATCGAGCCCCTGTGGTGCCACCCACCCTGACTTCTTGGGGGAGTGGGGCCCCAGGGGTGGAAGGTGGACTGCCCCACAGCCCTGCACGGGGCTCTGATGGGCTGCAGACCCCGGCCAGTCGCTCAGGAACAGCTCAGGGCCATGAAGTAGTGAAAGCAGTGGGCCCCTGGGCCGCCCAGCCCGGGCCTGGTGCACGAGGGGCTTGGTAACCTGCGCTAGCCCCCTTCTCTTGGCCTTGCCGTCGGGCTCATCTGTCCCCCAACAACCCTGTGGGTGCCCACGCCTCCGGCGGACAAACTGAGACCCAGAGGTGGGGCCCAGCCTGAGCTCCAGGCCCTGCGGGCTCCTAGGCAGCTCCGAGGACCCCATCCTCCCAGCCGGGCGCCCTCTTACCAGCCAGACCACGAGCGAGTAATGGCCGCGGGCTGCGGCGGCGTGCAGCGCGCTCATGCCGTCCAGGGCACGCAGGTGCACGTCGGCGCCGCAGTCCTTCACCAGGAACTGTGCCAGGTGCAGGTGGCCTTCCTGGCAGGCCAGGTAGAGTGGCGAGGCGCCACTGAGCGTCCTCTGGTTCACGCCGCTGCGGAGGGACGGAGCGGGGCTCAGAGGCACTGGGCCAGGAGGGGGTGCAGAGCGGGGAGAGGGCTGTGCTAGCCAAGGGCTGCCCTGCTTGCGCCCACCCACTTACAGGGACACCTGCAGGCGCACAGGTTGCACGGCCCACGGTCAGCAGGAGCGGGAAAGGCGGAGGGGACCATTGACCCCATCGCCCAGCCCCGCCACGCCCATCACACTGTGAGCTCCGGGGCTCGCCGGCAGGGGCAGCTTTCCTAGTCTGCACGGTGGGTTGAATAGTCCAGTGGGGCAGCAACTGGGACAGCGCCCCCTGCCGGTGAGCCCTGAGCACACAGAGCCTGGAGCCACTCTGAAAAGGGCCGCCGTGGGCGGGACACGAGGCCAGGGCCAGCCCACCCCAGAGCAGGGTCTCGGGGTTCTTGTACCCAACTCTGCCCTTGGCCACTGTAGAGCTCAGGGGAGGGCAGTCCTCTACCCAAGCTGACCCTATCCCTGGCGTCGCCATCCACCGCTGCCCATTATGGGACATTTGACTGTGGTTGAGCTTCTCTAACTCCTACTGCTGCTGCCTCAGGTTCTGGGGTCCCCCTCGGGGCTCCCCAGGCAGCCCAGCATGCCTTGGGGGCAGCATCCCCCACCCCCCCCAGCTCCTTCTTTCCTTCCCTCTGGGCCTCTGGGTCCAGGTTACCAGCACCAATCTTTCTAAACCCAAGAGGGTCACAGGCCTGGACTTGATTCTGGATTTTCAGTTGTCCCTGTGGAGACACAGAATCCAGCCCACTGGCCAAGGCTGCTCCCTGCCTCTGGGCCCCCGTGTCCCCTCCCTGCCTCTGGGTCCTCTGTGTCCCCTCTGACCGGCGCTGCCTGGGCGTCCTTGAGATGCAAAACCTGTGCACCCCGCTCACACGGTGCTGGGTGCTGAGGGGCTGGGTCTGCAGTACAGGAGAGGGTCGGGGAGGCACCTCTGGGGGGAGTGACCTGCTCTCATGAGCACCCGACAACCATTTCCCACTCCGACTAGGGTCCCAGTGACTGTGGGACCCTCCCCGGCGGAGCTGCAGCCGTGCAGTTGCACAGAGTGCAGTCATAGGCCTCAGCTGACAGAAGGGGAAACTGAGGCCCTGAGCGCTAAACCTTCGCTCAAAGGCTTGCGCCTGGGGTGTGAGTCCCTCCTCTCCCATTCCCCAGGGCCTGACAGAACCAGACCCTCCTCGTCTTCGAGTCCCAAGGAAATGGAGGCCTCTTGCGGGCCCCTCACAGGTGGTCTCTGGGTCACTTGGGCAGTCCCTGGCTTTGGACCCCTGACAAGCTCATTCTGCCAACGCAGAGCCTGGGGTCCGCTCATCAATCACGGAATGCACCCACAGGGCAATGCGGGGCCTCGTGCACTCTCTGGGGTAGAGGGCTGTCAGCTGTCACCGGACTTCCCCAGGAGGCCAGACCCAAGCCAGGTGTGGGGCAGGCAGCATCAAGCACAGTTCCAGGTGAGGCCAAGGTGACCGGGTCAATGGGCCTGGGGCAAACTGTACCCCACACTCGGTCCAGAGGGGTGGCCACCTCTCGGCTCCAATGGGTGCTGCCAGGTGGGAATGTGGGCCCAGAGGCACCAGGCCTTCCCATTTTTATAGAGAAATAGGATGTGTGTGTGAGAGTGTATGAGAGTTTGTATTATGTGAGTGTGAGAGTGTGTGTGTGTATATGTGTATGAGTGTGTGTATATGTGTATGTGAGTGTGTGATAGTGTGTATAAGTGAACATGTGTGTGTGTGTACGTATTGAGTGTATTTGTGTGAGTGTGTATTGTGTATGAGTATGTATGTGTGTGTGAGTGTGTGTGCATGAGTATGTGTATAATAGTGTCTATAAGTGGACGTGTGTATATGTGTGTGTGTGCATGTACATGAGTGTGTGTGTGTTAGTAAGTATAAGTGAACGTGTGTGTGTGTGTGAAGTGAACTTGTGTGTGAGTGTGTGTGTGTGAGTGTGAGTGTGTATGAGTGTGTGTATGTGTGTGTTAGTATGTATAAGTGAACGTGTGTGAATGTGTATTGTATGTTTATGTGCGAGTGTGTACTGTGTGTATGAGTGTGTGTGTGTGTACATGAATATGTGTATAATAGTGTGTATAAGTGGACGTGTATATGTGTGTGACTGAGTGTGCGAGAATGTGTAAGTATAAATGAATGCGTGTGAGAGTGTGAGTGTGTGTGAGTGTATGTGTGTGAAGTGAACGTGTGTGAAGTGAACGTGTGTGTGGGAGTGTGTGGGAGTGTATGTGTGTGAACGTGTGTGTGTGAACGTGTGTGTGGGAGTGTATGTGTGTGAACGTGTGTGTGTGTGAACGTGTGAGTGTGTGGGAGTGTGTGAACTTGTGTGTGAGAGTGTGTGTGGGAGTGTGTGTGTGAAGTGAATGTGTGTGAGGGAGTGTGTTGTGGGAGTGTGTCTGAGTGTGTACATGAAGTGAACGTGTGTGTGTGGGAATGTATGTGAACGTGTGTGTGTGAACATGTGTGTGAGTGGTTGTGTGTGATGTGAACATGTGTGTATGTGTGAAGTGAACGTGTGTGTGTGTGTGAAGTGAACGTGTGAGTGTATGAGTGTGTGAAGTGAACGTGTGTGTGTGATGTGAACGTGTGTGTGGGAGTGTGGGGGGAGTGTGGGGGGGAGTGTGTGTATGTGAAGTGAACATGTGTATGTGTGAGCATGTGTGAGTGTGTGTGTGGGAGTGTGTGTGGGGGGGGAGTGTATGTGTGAGAATGTGAAGTCTCCGGTTTCCTGATGGTGGCAGTCCCTGTGGGGCGGTCCGGCCTGGGCGTCTGAGGAGGCCCACAGAGCGCGCAGGCCGGGGAGGAGAGGGCTGCTCCACACCCGGGCTCTCAGGGCTTGGCCTGGAACAAATGGGGCGGCCGGGGCCACCAGCAGTCCAGATAAACCGCTCCCTCAGAAAGGAGAGGCAGATAGAGGGGCAGGTGGTTCACTGAGGAGAAAATCCAGTGACGGGAAAGGTGGCGTTGAGGGCTGGGTGGACAGGAAGTTCCGCTCTCCAGGAAGCAGCCCTGAGAAACGGAGTCCCGAGGCCAGCACCCCCACTCCTGCACCTCACAAGCGCCCATTACCATGACGACGGTGCGTGTCTGTGTTGGGGCAAGGACTGGAGAAGGCTGAGGGTGAGATGGGAGTCCTGCTGCCACCTGCCTCAGCCGGGCCTGGCCCTGGCCCTGGCCTTCCCTCCTCACTCGTCCGCTTACGTGGACACAGGGCCACCACCCTCGAGGGCTCCCAGTGCCGAGGGCACAATTCAGGCCGCCTGACTGGCTGCCCTCAGTCCTCCATTTACTTCACGAGACTGGAGGGCGCCCCACAGGTGTCTCCAGGCTGCTGCTGTTCCAGATGGCCCTGAGCGGTCCCCACGTGGGCCGGGAGCCCCCGAGTATCACACGGCCTTTCTGTTGGGCTGTTCCAGCGGCTTCCTGGCTGTTCTCCCTGCCACTCTAGTCCCACCCCCTCACATCAAAAACCCTCATCTCCCGTACCTGGCCTTGCACCTGCACTGCCCCTCTGCCCAGGTGGACGTCAAGGCCCTTCCAGACCTCCCCGCTCCTTCCCCCCTCTGCTCCCGACTCCTCTCCCGGGGATGCTGTGCCAGCCGCACTGAGCCCCGCTAAGGCCACCAGTCCAGTCCCCCTCCCTCCGCCCTCCCTCCTCAGTGCAGACTGCCCACCTGCTGTGGGCGGCCACCAGGAGCTTCAGGCAGGTCAGGTCCCCGCTGACAGCGGCGTGGTGCAGGGGCAAGGCCCCCTCCAGCGTCTCCAGTGTGGCCGGGTGGCCCTCATGAAGCAGCCACTCCACCACCACAGGGTGTCCAAAGCGGGCGGCCAGGTGCAGCAGAGAGACGCCTGAGGCATCTTGGTCCTGCCAAGGCCGAAAGTGGGACCCTGAGCCATGTGGCAGGCCGGACTGTCCCAGCCAGCAACACTGCCGTGGGCAGAGTGGCTGCCGAGGGCCCCCACAAGGCCACACTGCTCGATCCCGACCTGAGGGTTCCCTGTTACATAACACAAGCAGGGAGGGCCTTGCTACCAGGACTGTGCATTCAAAGCAGGGAGCCGGGCCATCTGCTCCAGGTAAGGGGCAGGCTGGGACTCGAACGCAGATCAGCAGCTGCTCACCTACGCCCGCCCCAACTCTCCTCTCAGCCAGGAAGGCGCCACTTGCCAACGGTGCCTGGGACGGGCTTGTGGGCCTTTTGCGGGTCCCAGGAGACCAGGGGTGCTGACCGATGTCCCCTAGCCGCCGGCCTGGGTGTCCTCAAGGGCCCGTGATCAGAACACACCCGGAAGTAGGCACAGTTCCCACCGCTGCCTCTGGGGTTCTCCAGAGAGAACAGGAGTGCAGAGGCCGTGAGGCTGAGCTGCTAGGCTCAGAGGCTGATGCTGCCCTTACCTCTCCCCATCTCCCCATCCAGGGACCCACCAGGCCTCTCTGGCCTCTGGGAGAGGGGTGTCCTGTCAGGGGCTGGCCCACGACCCCCGAGGGTTCACAGACAGTGAGAGTCCTCTGCCTCTACGAGGGAGACGGGCAGGCGGGGCCCCAAAGAAATGCCCAGGCAGGGTGACTGGTGCCTGTTCAACCCTTCCCTTCCAGCCGCCCCCATCCCCTGCCCCACAACATTCCCGCCCCCCAGTCCTCCCTCCACTGCCTTGGGCCTTGTCCACGGTGCCCATGGCTCCTACTCCAGCGTGCCTCTCTGCAGACCCGTCCCAGATGCTTTGGAAACCAGGTCCCAGGATCAGGCCTGATTAGGGAAAGGGGTCCTGAACACGGGCAAGACCCCCACTGCCCAGGCAGAGGGCTCCTGTTTGTGGAGGGGCATGGGGATGGTGTGGGGAGAGGTGGGAGAGTGGCAGGTGGCTTCTCGCTGGGGAATAAGAGGGCACTCTGGGAGGCGGCCTGGGCTTTCAAGGAATGTGTGCTGGTTTGGGGGTGGGCTGGGACTCAAACCCAGCTCAGCGGCCATGCAGAGACAGACCCTCTGACTGCTGTCCCCAGGGGCGCAAACAAAAGGCCAGGAGTGGCAGGACCCTGCGGCCTGGGGCTGGGGCACCTGGCTTCCTGGGTTCACACTTCCCGCACTCCCCAGGGGTCTGTGACTGTCCCAGGCCAGTGGGCACTCACTCACCTGCAGGTCACAGCCTCCCTCACGGACAAGCCAGCACAGCTCAGCCAGGTGGCCAGTGGCAGCAGCATCATGGGCTGGCGTGGCCCCATTGTGGGCCCGCTGGTTGCCAGGAAGCTGGGCCTGCTGCACCAGGAGTTTCACGCAGTCCAGGTGGCCAGCTCGGGCGGCGTGGTGCACCAGGCCGGCACCCAGCGCATCGGTGGGGCCTCGACCCAGGGCCCCGTCCTCCAGCAGCCGCTCCAAGGTGGCCAGGTCCCCCTGCTTGGCGGCTGCGAGCGCCCGCTGCTCCGCCATGCTCGGCCCGGCCGCCCCAGCACCCCGCACCCCACACCCCAGCAACCCAGCACCCGGCACCCCGCTGGCTCTCTGTGGCGCTCGCACGCAGGCCAGGCTTCCTGTTTCAGGTGTGGACACTAGCCCCCGGATCCAGTTACCCGATAAGCAGCCCAGAGGGCAGATGGAAGGCGGCAACTTCGTGGGGGGGCGGCAGGCGGGGGGGCTCTCAGCCTGCCCACATACTCCCTCACGGAGGGCTGGAGCGATGGCCAGGGGCCGCAGAGAAGGGGCAGCGGGGTCCTGCTCAGACGGTGGCCGGCGGCTGGAACCGCAGAGCGAGGGGACGTGGGCGAGCCAGCCTGTCTCCATGGGGGCCGTGCATCTAGTCCGTCTGCTCGTTGCAGATGTCCTCTCGAGGGAGTGGCAGGCCTGAATATCTACTTTTCCATGGATTCTATGTGAACTGTCCTGACCCTGGGCTGGCCGGGGCAGGCCCCCGGGGGGTGGGTGGCAGACCTGTCCACAACGGGTTCTTTCCTGGGGACTCAGAGTCAGGTGTTTGAGTAACTGGGGCCCTGTCCTGGCCCTGGGCTGCCCGGAGCAGGCCCCTGGTTGGGGTAGGGGGCCCTTTCCCGAGACTCAGTGCTCTGGCCACATTGTCGCCTTGGAGATCTAGGGGCACACTGTCCCCCGGAATTGGACTGTGGGAAACACAGTCCGCACCCGGCTCCAGCCTCACCTGGCCTGTGGCCCGTGGAGGCCCCGCTAGCCCCAGGGGACGTGGGCGATGGTGCCGAGGGCCCCTCGCTGCCCCTCTTTGTGGGTGCCGCGGGCCATGCAGGCTGTGCTTCCGGTGGACGCTGGAGGGAGGGTCTGAGGTGGGGGGCCTTGGCCCCACCTCCGACCACAGTGGCCCAGTCTCTGTGGCTTTGGGTTTTAGCACCGCCCACCAGGCATCTTCCCAGGCTGTGCTTCAGCAGGCAGGATGCCCAGAGCCCCTTGCAGCCCCCACAGACAAGGCCGGCTTCCTAGCGGCTCCCAGAGAGCCTCGGGCGGGGTTCACAGGCCTAAGCCTAACTGTGCCGTGATAGGACGGAATTACGGCCCAACCCTGCCACCCCCCATGGCTGTCTGTCCTGCAGACATAGCCCACACCCGGATACCCTGAGAAAAGCGCTAGGCCGGGGGTGTCCGCACCCACACGGAAAACTGCAAACACGGGGTGTTTTATTAACATGTATGAATAAGGTATTTTATTAATATGTTTATTTTCCAACAGCTGTTTGCTTACATTTTAAGACCTCACATTAAGAAGGTTATTCTATTAAAAACGAATCCTATGTAAACATCCCTACAACACGGATGGCATGTGATGTGAGAACACCCCAAGACGCCTTGGAAAGAAGGAGAGAGAATCCTTCTATGGATGAGATTAACAGGAAAGCTGGGTCAGAGGTGAGCGGACTTTCTGCTCTGAGAACCGGCAGAACGGCAGAACACAGCTGCCAGCCACACGCAGCCACGTCCGACTGGAGCCCCGAGAGGTTGGGGGACAGCGTGGTGGGACTGACGGGGCAGGCCGCCAGGGGCCGAGGCACCCTGGTGGACACCGCTGGGCAAAGGTGCGGACGGGAGGCCCCACGAAGCTGAGCACCACGATCGCAGCGAGGCAAAAATCAAGTCTCCTATTTTCATGATAGCAGTGGACTGACAACAGGTAATAAATACCTCGATCTTATCATCTGGATAAAAGCGCCATCTCCCAGGAAGGAACCCAGGCGTGTCCACTTCCATCTGTGCACTCGGCAGAGAGACAAGTGACCATCCTTTGTGGGTG